CTATTCTATCTGTTTTCTTTTTATTTATTATATAATAAAAAAAAAAACTTGCTACGTGTACTGCACACGCATACTGAAACTTGTTATAGCACTTGCATATCGTTGCTCTCTTGTTGATTTTGATTTCTTCCATTTGTAAGTCGCTTTGGATAAAAGTGTCTGCTAAATGTAATATAAATGTAAATACTGAAACTTCTTTATGCACCAAGAGCTTGTAACACTCCAAAGAGAAAGGAAAAATTGAAATCGCATCATATGACCCCTTTAAAATGTCTGAAATATGAATGTAGACAGGGGAAACGAACCCTAATAAGCTCACTTGTTTTATTTTGAAATATAAGACAGAAAAAGTCTGAGATAAATGATTTGTTTCTAACTCAAACCAATCAAGAAGCTGTTTTTCTTATCCAGTAGTAATGTAAGTGACTGATTAATAAATAAATGCAACTTTATATTATTATTTATTTGATATTTAAAAGCATGGATAATTCATAAGCGCATGTAAGCTGCCATTAGAGCAAGAAAAATATTGTTATAATATAACAATGGCTAAAATGTTTGTAGTCATATTAATGTTCATGCTCTGTCTGTAATTATATTTAAATAATATTTTTTTTTTGTCAAGTTGGTTTGCAAGGACCTCTATTATCTCTAAAGATCCCACTGAGACTCATGAAAAGGCATTAACTGAATTAATTGTGCTCACAACACAAGCTTTTAATTTATCAACATTACTCACTTGCATTATTTTTATTGTGGAGATTGATGCTGAATGTCAAATACTGACTTCTAACACTAGCTTGCTCTATTCTTTTTCTATTCTATCTGTTTTCTTTTTATTTATTATATAATAAAAAAAAAAAACTTGCTACGTGTACTGCACACGCATACTGAAACTTGTTATAGCACTTGCATATCGTTGCTCTCTTGTTGATTTTGATTTCTTCCATTTGTAAGTCGCTTTGGATAAAAGTGTCTGCTAAATGTAATATAAATGTAAATACTGAAACTGTAATCCATATTTGTTCATTTCAATCAGTAGTTCTTTCATTAAATATGTAGATTAATCAAAATTGTTTAATGCTTGTTTCTAACTCAAAGCACTCAAAAGAAACTATTTTCTTAGTATCCACAGTGATTAAACTGGTTGATAAATGAATGCGATCTGAATATTTGAAAACATAGATTTCATAAAAATTGCCAGTAGACCAACAAAATTAAACATTTATAACCATATTACATATTTAATACGCTTCTTCAGGTTAAAAAGATGCTCATGCTATTTTTGTAATTATAATTCATAGATATAACTTTTTTTGTCAAGTTGATTTCACAGCATTAGCTCCTATTGTGCCTGATAAGCCTACTGAGACATATAAATAGCATTAACTGAACAAATTGTTCTCACAACACACTCTTTTAATTTATGAACTTTACCCACTTACATTATTTTCATTGTGGTGACAAAATTATAGCAAGTGATGATTGTTGAATAGGCTATCAAGTGCTAAAACTGTAATGCATGTTTGTCCATTCTGATCAGTAGTTCTTTTATTAAATGTTAATTAATCAAAACGGAAGTGTTTAATGCATTTGAATAATATGTTAAGTATTTATATAAAGAATAGTGGGCTTATATGTAACACAGGTGGCTTTAAATGGTGCACATGTTCCTTGTAAGCCCACTCCAGACTCACGCTTGCAAATAAAGCAGCACTTAATTTTGTTGGTTTATGACAAAACAAAACATACGTTTTTAGATAAAAGATTAAAGAGATTACGATTTGAGATGTTTCTCAATTGTATTTAATCAAGACATTTACAAGGTATCATAGAATTGGTTAGGGCTGTGCGATTTGGGGGAAAATATCAAATTGCGATTTTAGTTTTAATTTGCCTAACTATCGATCTGACCCAGTAGACGCCATAGTCCCACTCTGTCTCTCTCCCGTCCCGCTTACTGTTTTTATTTATTTATTTTTTTTAATGGTGGGTGTTTACACAGTTGGCTAGAGCAGTGCTGATTGGGGAGAACGAAGGTGCGCTTACTCTTGACCAGGGCAAGTAAGACTGCAACTCAAGGCTGGTAGTCATGCATATGCTCTGGAACAGAGTAATATCGCGTCCACATCGCAGGCTTTGCGATTAGGAAATCGCAACGTCTCAAATCGATTCGATTTCGATTAATCGCACAGCCCTAGAATTGGTTCCTGTTATTTATTTATTTATTTATTCAGTTACTTTAGAAGTCTGTTCAAACACCGATACTTCAGATTCATGACAATAAAGTTAAAGCTAGTTATGGGTAAATAATACTGTTGTATGCCTGCCTGGTTTACCTCAGGATTGCTCTTCCATGTGAAACAGTAGAATTAGAACAGAGGGCAGACGTACACGAACAATTCTCTATTTATCAAAAAAAAAAAAAAAAAGATGATTTATTTAATAAAAATGCTTGCCAATTCCAGTGTAGGAACAATTTCCACCTGCCTCATGTAATTATTGGCTGATCTTTTCATTTTGTGTGACAGCTGTGAGATTTTTAAATGTTTTTGAAAAAAAGTCTCTTATGCTCACCAAGGCTGCATTTATTTGATTAAAAATGTCAGTAAAAACAGTGATATTGCAAAATAGTATTACAATTTAAAAACAACATTTTCTATTTTTTATTTCTATAATTTCAATTTTAATATATAATTATAATTTATTCCTGTGGTGGCAAAGCTGAATTTTCAGCATCATTACTGCAGTCTTCAGTGTCACATGATCCTTCAGA